GGGAAAGGCGAGCGTGTGCGCGCCGGGGACCGAGGGGAGCTGGCACCCGGCTCTCGTAGGTGGGGTGGTGGGAAGGGGTCCTATGCCTCCGACCTGCGGGAAGGGGAAAGGACTTGCCTTCCTCCCCAGCACTTTCATCCTCCCTCCCCCTTAAAACAACAAGCTCCTCAGGGCACAGGCAGGATCTAGCTTGATGCTTCTACAGAACCAAGAATAACAGGGTCCAGACCTCACCTGAGGTCTCCAAGACCTCTTCTTGCCCCTCCAGATACTAACAGCCACATTTCAGACTTGATTTCCCCTGAATCTTTGGGGTGCTTCAGATCGACACGGATATTTTCGAGGCTCAGACCCCAACCCAAAATCAGCCGATTGGTACCATCAGACTCAAAATGAAAGAATCATCCACTGAAGTGATTTGCAGAACACTGGCCACTGGTGACCACCTGCAGATTCCCATCCTGTTATGCGAACAGCATGTTCAACAGCCACCATCAAGAGACATTTGGTGAAAACAACCCCGTCCTTATGAATGAGAGAAGGTGTCCAAAACCCCAGCCCCAGCACTGGAAGATTAAATCTAATGAGGGGATGCAAATGTCCCTGCTCTAGACACAAGTATCCTGGCGAATACCGTCCTGCCTCAACACAGCAGCTACAAAATGTCTCTAAACTCCCCAGGAGGGATGACAATAAGTGGCAGCAAAAAGCTTTCAATATTTAGCACGCTCTCAAAAACTCTAAGGACCCTCAGTTACACGTGAGCAAAGGGCAAACTGCACCTCAGGCTTATTTGGAGGTTTCTGTGGCTCAGACTGGCCATTTCTCACCAGCCTGATTTTACAGGGCTGGAGCGCAGAGCTGAGCAGGGAAGGAGCCGAGTTACAAGTCTCTCCTCCAGCTTTATTCCTGGCAGAGACAATTTGCAGCAGTGTTGCTCGGCACGTCAAGTCTGGCACCTGCTTACAATAAATCCCTAACGATGTTGAAAAGTTAAACGTCCATTTAGTTTAATTTCTGGTTTAGATTTGGATTTCTACATACTGTAAATGCTAGAAAAAACATTTTTTTGAAACAATGCTGCGTATTTACCTTGGAGATCCTCTGTAATTGGCTGCCCTTCATCTGAGATTTCTTTCTAAACGCAAAAGGATGCTCTCAGCACAGACAGTCCAACGGGGAGGCTTTGCCACCACCTTCTGCTAATGCTTTCACGCTGGCTGAGATCTCTTGAGCAGGCTCCCTTGTAGGTGGGATGGGTTGATGCATTACTCTGGGTCTGAGGAATCCAAGGGGTTTGAACCCCAGCAGAAACTAAAGGAAGGAAAACGCCTCATGGGACGATGTCAACCTGTGCAGACGGGAGTTTGGGAGTCTCCTCTTTTGGGACATGTGTGATGGCAAAAAGCAAGACAGGCTCAGTCCAGCCGTGCTGTTCTGCTGAGCGTGAACCCGCCTGCGGGCTGCACCGAGAGAAGCTCCTCACCCCTGGAGGTGTCGTGGCCCAGAGCAGCCCCTCCACGGCCACCTCTTTGGTGCCAAAAGCTCCCTGGGGATCAGGGTTTCCCGCAGCCACCGGTGGCAAGGCCAGTGCAGCCCAGTCACACCTCTCTCTCGGGAGCAGGGAGGACACGCACCCGCTCTCACATCCCTGGCGTGCACGAGAGGGTGGTGGGACCCCCGTGCCACACCGTGGGGACAGTCCCCAGCCCCAAGCCCCTGGCCGGGCCGGGGAGCTCTTCCACAGCCAGCCCGGGGGGACGAGCGGCTGATGGGGCCTGGCTGTAAAATCTGGGATGACATTTTCTCTCCCTTCAACCTTTGATCCTGGTAAACGTGCTCTGGGCGCTGCGAGCTGACTGAGAATCTCTCTGTGTGCAGATGTCCTGCAAAAACTACACCCACAGCTGTAAATCACAAAGCCCTCCCCAATCTGGTGGTTAGCGACAAAGAATAATGATTTTACTAATGGGAGCTGGCCAGCATTCAACCCACTCCTTGATTTTTATTTATTTTTTTTTTTTTTTAAGCAAAGACTATTTATATCAAGAGACTTGCAATAAGTAAGACTCTTCGATTTATTCGAGATCCAAAAGCAGCCAAAGGGGGAGATTTCTGGGAGCTCAAGCTCTGGGGACTCGTATGGGAGCAGGCAGACCCCAAACTGAGATGACAGCAACATCAATGCGCATGAAACACCAAAACCCTGGGGTGTCCCAGCTCCTCGGGCTCCCCACTTCGGGTCTTGTGAGGACGCGGGTGGGTGGGTGAGCACGGGAAGGGGACGGGGCAGAGATGCACCTACACGGAGCGTGTTTCAGTCGTCATCGCTCACATCTCCCCCATGGTAGGTGGCCCCAGACGGTCCAGCACACCCAGACCACCACATCTGCCTATGGCACGACTGGCACAACCCCATGGGAGCCCAGTGAGGACAGACATCCATCCTTCCCCGCGCGGTCTCGCTCTGCCGAGCCGGCGGGCTGCCAAGCCCCTCCTCTCTGACATTTCCAAACTCACTAAGCCTTTTTCCTTACAAACGTGAACTAGGCAAGAAGAATAAGTTCACACTTGGAAAAAAAAAAAAAAAAAAAGACTTTTTGCTTTAAAGCACAACTTTTTTTGGGTTCCTGACAAAGCAATATTCTCCAGGCCAGTTGGAATCTGGAAAAATACACTTACTCAACCTAGCCACCATGACTCCAATAACAATTATAAAATGTCCAATAAAACTTGCATGTAATGTCAATTCAAATCTTGAAAAGCAGAATTAAGTGGTATATCAACATTAAACTTTATTGCTTCCTTTGCAGAGCAGAAGTATTGTCAATAAAAGTCATTCTGAATGAAGAAAAGGGCAGTAAATATTAAATAAACAGGTTTTTGTTGAAATGCTATAAATGCACCAGAGCTGCATTTTACACTGGGACCCTTTTTTCCTTTGCAGACTCCCCTCATGGTAGGAATAAGTCAGTAATTGCAAACTATCAATAAAGCGCCAATTAAAGGGTGGTTAGATGCATGCATTTACAATATGTCATTATGAGCCTTTATTGTATGTAGTTGGCTTTTTCAGATCCCACTGGCTCCGTCTGAAGTCCCCCAGCACACAAACAGTCGTGCTGCTCGTTAGGGGCCCTTGGAGGAGCCGTGAGGGTGCTGGGGGGGCCAGCAAGAGCCCTGGCTGGGGGCTCGGGGCTGCATCCCCCGCCTGCCCCGGCCCAGCCAGGACCCAGCAACCCAGAGCCGAGGAGGAGGATGAGAAAAGAGTGCCTGATCAGGCTTTTTTGGGCCTGGAAGTTTCTTCTGGCAGGGATGTGAAGACAAAGCATCGCCATCTCGGTTCGTTACGCTCTTCTTTCTCTGCCAATGCAGAAGGGAGCGGAGTACAACACCTCTGCCCCGAGACACGGCAGCCGTGCCAAAGCCTGGGATTTGGCAATGTGGTTTGTTTTCTGATAGACCGTGGTGTGGTCTGCTCCCTTCTGGGTCTACTCACCTTAGAAAGCGCCATCGCCATCCTCCCTACACTTCCTTGCACGCAAAAGTATTTCTACTCCCAACTCCTGCTTGCTAATCCCATCTCCACCACATCTCGACACCTGCCTGCCACTGCAACAAGGAGCTGAGAGAGAGGGGATGTTTTGCTTTGTCCGTGAGACAAAAGAGCAGGTTTTTTTTTAGGGTTGGGCTGCATATAACCCTCCCAGCGACACTGGGAACCTCAGGTGCGATGCCCGTCGCAAACCGCTGGCACCTCGTGGAACAATTCCCCGAGACCCGTGCGGGTCAGAGCTCTCCTGCTCCACTGCCGGCACCTCCAGCTGCCTGAGAAGATCCACCCCAACACCACCAAACCCCCCGCCAGAAGGTGTGCCCAGCGAGCAGAGGCACAAGCTGTACGTTTGGTGGCGCCCAGAAAACAACGCGACCCGTTTCAGAAGCCAGAGGAGGAGCGGGGCACTTCCGCGAGGACACAAATCCCGCGGGTTTTATGTCAGCCCTTTCCAATCTGATCAGCATTTCTGTGGTTTACCAATAGAGTTTATAAGCTGTTCTCCCGTTTAATCATCACACGTATTTACAGGAAGCAGTAACAGCTACCGAGTATGAATTTCATGATGCTGAAATGATATTGAACAAACACTGCAGTCAGCAAGGGCTGAAAGCTGCGCTTCTGCGAGTCAGAGTGGCTGGGGTTTAATGAGTTTTTTGAATTATGCCGGGGCAGAGACAAGAGTGGTCTAGGCAAGTATATATGCAGGATCTTCTGCCCTCTGACTTTTGCACAGATTTATTTATTTCATGCACAAAAAACCCCAACAAAATCAACTGGAACGTGAATGCCATCAATTTTTGAAGCAATTATTTTCACTCTGAGCCTGGTCTCAGTAAATCTGGTGGCTGTAGAATACAGCTCAAACGTTTTCAGAGATAAAGAACAGCCCTTGAATGAAAAAAAAAAAAAACCAAACAACTCCCTTCAAAGGGTGAAAGATGTCTACAAAAATTAACCTTTGGAGAAATTGCAACTACTCATCCCAGCCACCCGCAGCCGTGGGGGCAGTCCCTTTGCACTAGTCCCGGGCTGACACTTCTCTGCCATCCATATGAACGGAAAACAAACCAGTGACAAGGGAAACAAACCTCCAGCGCCACACCAGCGCAAGCCATGCGAGAGCCGACAGTTAACAGCTGTGAATCACCTTGATTCACTTGAGCCTGAACCCTTGACCCGCCGGTTTGAGTCAGTTCCTCCGGATGCTGCTCCCGCTCGGAGGCGACGGGCTCTGCTGAAACGCATCGCGGGTGCTCCTGGCCCGTGGGGCCACGTCCCCACTGCAGGTTACGGAGCTGGTGTGGGGAACGTGCGTCTGCATCTCGGCCATCCAGGCCCCAGCTCACCCCACGGCCCCCAATCTTCAAACCCTTCGGATACCCCCTGCCCCGTCCCGGGGCGAAGACGCGACCCTTCGGAAGCAAACGCGGGAGCATCTCACCTGGAAGAGGATCTGCAAGAGGCCATGGACGATGCACATCCGCCGTCCCAGGAGGAGAAAGAAGGGCACCACCAGCTCGATGAAGTGATTGACCGTGGTCTCGATCTGATGAAACCACCACGGCGAGTGGTGCATGAAGTAGGCGATGGGGTTGGGCACTGGCTGCGTCTGAAAGGTGGAAGGAAAAAATTAATCGATCCCCCTCCAAGGCTCATCATCGGGGGGGGAGCTACAGAGCTCTCGTCCTTTTCCTTCTTCCTTTCCCGAAGTGTGCTCCCGGGAGAACCATCCTTTGCCTCTAGGCACTCATTTCTTTTTAGAGAAAATTACTTCATTCAATTTTTTTTTTCATGCAAACCCAAGCAATTTTTAAAGCAACACATCTTTTAAAAAAACCAAGAGTTTTAATTTTCTCTTTTTTCATCAGAACCAAAACCCACCCATCTTAAATTACAACCACTATTATTTAATACTGAAACGTTACACATAGCGCGACGCCAACGGATGTTAAATCGCTCTGCACGAGTGCTGAAGATCATCAGAGCAACTAAGCAGATACAGAAACTGAGAAAAAGATTTTCTCAGGGTCACACAGTAGGTCAGAGTCAGGAATGGAAACCAGATTTCAAAACCTAGGAGATATTCTTTCAAAATGTTTAAATTTGAAATAAAAGCGGTGGTAGAGTTGCTTTCCAAAATTGTAATTTGGGAGAGGAAAGTGTAATTCCTCTAAACATGCTATATTGGTTTAAGGTATTTACATACTGGCCTTGTGACAATATTATCCTTCTACCAGCCTGCAATTTTTTGACACTGGGAGATCTTCCATCCAGTACAATAAAGTGGCAAATTTTACAAAGGAAACAAAACCAAATCTTGCTATGTTAATAACTGCCACCCTAAGAGATGCTGCAATTTTAGCAAAAAGAAAGAAATTAACAATTTATCTTAGCGTATCTGACAAGGCCAATTCATTAGTATTGCTTTAGAACGGCGACAAAAAAAAAAAAAAAAAGAGAGGATGAAGATGCAAATTTTAATTGAAGGAGACACAACACATCTTTAAATTATTTGCAGTTAAATCAAAAATACAAACAAAACAGGGAAAATACTGTACTATGCATGGCAACTGAGCGCTCTTCCACTGCCAAATCCCACAACTATTGTAATTCCTTATTAGCAAAGCTGGGATTAATAAAGTTGTTGCTTTATATGGGCTTGAGGCTGCTGTAACCCCTTAGGACAGGAGACCGCATCCTTCCTTCCTCGGACACCGGCGCCGGATGGAGCGGTGTCGGGGTCAAGGAGCTCTGCCAAGTCCACTCCGGCGAGGGGGTGGGAGGTCAGGGCTCCCCCCTCCCGGGGCAGCAGCAGCCCCGGGTGCCACCGAGGGTCCTTCCCCTCCGCACGGGACCTGTTTTGAGTTAATCTGCTTGTTGGATTGCTCGTGAGCATTCCCAGAACGTCAGGGAGGCTCACAAAGAGATTTTTTTTTTTTTTTTTTTTTTACCTTGATCCCAAATTGCTGAGAAATGCTTTCATCCTTCCAAAAAGGCAGGTTGCTTTCTTGGTTTCTTCTTTTTTTCTTTTTTTTTTTTTTTTTTTATAAGTGCTTTAACCAAAACCAACCCAGAAGAAGTATCAGTCCTACTGGTTGTAACGTTTAGCCCAAGATGAGCCAGTTTCCAGAGTGTAACGGCCCGATCCCAACACGCCGGAGCCGCAGGAAGGCCACACTCATGGTTATCCCCCCCCTCCCCGTGATGCCACGGAGCTGCTCCCTTCGACAGCACCTACGGCCGGGGACCACGGAGAACAGAAAAAATTACACATCTAATTCCATACTCGCTCACACAGGTAATTACATCTCACAGTGTGATGGCACTGAGCCGTCAGTCATTTGACGGTGGCTGTTTAATTTTAAAGCAAAGACCATCCTTAGCTCCGGAACGTGCCATTTGGGTCCCCCATCCCCTTCCCCTCCATCCCAGGCTCACGCTGATGCCCTCAGATATCAAGGCCAACCTCAGCCAGAAAATCCCATTGTTGCTTTGGGCTGGGACTCGAGATATCATCCCGCCAGCTTGCTGTGCGTAAGGGCAAAAAGGTAAAATTCTTGCCTCTAGTCAAACGAGAAAGTTCTTGGTTTGGGCTCATGGAGCAGCCACGTAAGAGCTCGCAGGGGAACAGCCCAGGCGGGTCTGCAGCAGTTTGTGCTTTTTAGGAGCAGCCTAATTCTTACCCTGAAGTAGAAATGGGGAAAAAAGGAGAAGTGAAGCACAGAAATCTGGTGTGGGTTAATAATTCACTCCCAGGTGCTATTGCATTGCCATCGTTCACCTTATCAGCGCTGACACTATCACGGTGTCAGTGGGGGGGGCAATGCTGCACGACAGGCAAGATAACTCCAGTGACAAGCAAGACCAAAAGTCTAAAACAGCAGCAGACACCCCCCAAATAACACACATTTCCTTGGCATTTGTTTTGACAGAGGGAAAGAAATGCAGCCGATGAGGGCAGCGCTGGCAATGGAGCCTCTGGGGACGCTGTGAGGAAGGGACCCTTCCTCCCCACCCCTGCAGCCACTTCTCCAGCGTGTAAACCCCGAGTACGTAAAACCAAACACGGCGATAGAGAAGCGACTCGTGCATGTAGAAATTCGTTAAAAAGGCTGCTGGGGGAGGAGAGCCCTGTGCGTGTGTGTGTTCCTCCCAATGCCTTCCAGATGCTGCGAGCGCGGGTGTAGCGCGGCACAGGTTTCCCGGGGAGAAAGCCGTGTTTACCCGGGAAGGGGTGCTGAGGCAAGAGCAAAGACCCAGAGCAACGTGTGAATCACCCCGGCCCCAAACGCAGGCACCTGCACCTGGGATGCCGGAAACTTTTCTAGTTTCATTTTGCGCCCGAGTCGACCGCTGCCCAAGGGTTTTGGGGGCCACCCGACAGCCCGTCCAGGGGGTCCCACTGCGCAGCACCCAGCTGGGGCTGGGAGACAGCACCTGGGGGGGGGGGGCATCGCTGGGGTTAGAGGGGAAGCTTGCCCACCCCAGGCAATGCTTAGTGTGCTCCCGGGGTGATCGCGTCCTACGGAAACATCGCGGTGGAGCCCGCGAGGAGGGAAACGCGTTCCAGGGTCACTTCGCCCAGCTCGTTTCGCTGGGGAGTTTTGAGCTTTGGGCTTTGCTTCGTGGCTGGGCTGCAAGGAGAAGCACCCTAGGAAGCAGCCAGGAGTCCCCCTGTGTCGAGAACTGCGACCTCCCGACACACACCGGCAGAGAAAAACGCAGCTCCAAGTCAGATGCAACTAAATAAACAAGCCCAAGGCAGACGCACGGTGAGAGGAACAGAGCGGAGCCCTTGTCTCCCACAAGCCCCATTTCTGGATACCTCTGTGAAACATAAAATGTTTTTAAATAAAAAAATGATTAGCAAAAACCGGCTTTATGTGTCAGCACAAGGTGCAATATAATAAAACTTCTGCCTCCCTCACACCTCCAGCAGCCAGAGAAAAACTGTGCTGCAAATGTGTTTTGAGATCAGATTGGGGAAAATTAATTCCATAATTCACGGGGCAGATTTGTAACGTGTGACTGCGGGGCGACACTCGGCGGGGGCTGCTGAATGAATTCTGGGTCGCCAGCTAAGGCATGTTCTCTGGCTTGTATCTACCAGGTTTTATGAGGGCTGGTAACAGATTCTAAAAATATGCACAATAAACTGTTTTTTCTCCCTAAGGGGTCTATGGTTTAATTATGTTCTTAGTGAGAACCATTAAAGTGCTAAGTACCTGAAGACTCCTAATTTACTAAACTATATGCTACTAAAACCCAACAGAAGGCTATTATACACCAGAGTAAACGCTCTTCTCTGGGACTGTAAATGCACATGGTCTCTCCTCTCAGCCTCCTTACTGGTATGGCATTACATAAACTCCGACGGAGTATTTAATCCCAGTGTTAGATACCCCAGCTCAGCCTAGGGAAATCTCCAGGCTCTCCTACACGTGTGCATGAAAACAAGTCCCACATTGTCCCCGAACAACCCACCGCTCAGACAGGGCCGGGGAGGTTATTCTTAGAGCGTGAGCGGCACAGCTCCCATGCAAGCAACCGCGCGGCACTGGAGTGTGAAGCTGGAGGGTAGGGAAGCTCCTGTCCTCTCAAGATCACAAACGAGGAGGAGCCCAGAGACAGATCAAGTAAGTTTTACCCTTTGCAATGATGGTTTTTCACCTTCCTTCACTCCCCAATAAACTGCAGCACGGCTTCGGGAGCTCCTGTTGTATCTGTTCGCTCGTCTGACCACCTCAACAGCTCAAACTCACAAGGTGTCTTTCAAAAAACAGTAGCAAATGATGAACAAATCAGTTTCAAAAAGGTGAACAAAACAAAAATCCATTATTCTCCCTCTTTGTAGAAGGCAAACTTTGATTATCCGTTGATTCAGGTAACTAAAAGTATACTTGGCATTAATATTAACACTAAGGACAGCTTTTCAGAACGTCACCCTGGATGCCTATCACAGAAATCTGGCTTGGTGAAAAACAAATCAAGTCATAAGTATTTCTATACATTCTAGATAACATCATTTCTTTTCCCATCAGAAAGCACCTACTTAACTGAAATACTCAAATCTGAGTGCACTTAATGGCAGAAAAATCTTGAAAATCGGAAGGAAATGGAACAACAGCAAATATGAATAAACAATGAGCAGAAGCAACTATTTGGTCAAAAGAAATAGGATTAACTTGGTGCAACAAACACTTCAGTAACAGCTAGTGGGCACCAGAGGCCCCAGCAGTCAAAAGAGAGGTAAGCCTCTGGCACAAACAGAAAGGTGTGAAGAAGAGCAAGACCCTGGAAAACCAGGCTGAGAGGTATTTCTGAATGTTTTCCTGAGCATTTGTGGAAGGTACAGATGAACTGCAAAGCACAGTTCTCCAGCTTCCCAAGGCACTGAGGCACGAACTCATCTTCTCAGCTTCAAAGAAAAGCTCTCAGTTCTCTTGTACTTTGGACCCAAAAATAAAAAGGATTCTCCATCGCAGAGCATAATTTGATCAACATGATCCAACAGGCTGTTTCTCTGCCAGTCTATTCAGCTTCAGATCTTGACCCTTCCTCCTTACGCATCTGCAGATCAAAGCTCCACTTTCCCAAGCCCGAGCAGAA